CCTTATGTTAAATCAATATTGAATTTAATTGTAAAATATTTATAAAGTTGATGGAACTATACTACAAAATAACAAGAACTCAATAAGATGTTGAATTAATTGCTAAATAAATTTAACTTTGACTAAATTTTTTCAAAAAAATAATTGTTTTTAATTTTTACATAAAGTAATTCTTACTTTCTTTATTATTCTTATGTAAAATTATTTTGTACTTTCACATACAATTTATTAATATATATATTTATACATACAATAAAAAATATCCAAGTTTATCATAGTGAAAAAATTTCGCTTAATAAATTATTCCACGTTTTGGAACGCTTCGACAAAATTTCAGCATTTCTGAAAAATTTCAGTTTAATTTCAGTGATTTTTAGCTGAAAAATTAATTTTTATCAAAATTTCACATAAAAAATCATATTTTTAACTCAAATTTCTATATATTTCACATTTAAAAAATTAGCATAATACTATTCGATACAGCAACGTTTCAGCTTTAAAAATCTGTTTGTTTAATTGTAGTATGATTTTGAATGGAGTTATGAACAATCAAAATCAGAATACTCCTTTTTACTTAACTCGCGAATAACTCAAGAACAAAAAAATCATAGAAACATTGTTTTAAAAGCGATTTGTAAGAAAAATCCCAAACTTTCACGATAGAGGAAAGTCGCCGAAACTAACATACAGTGGCGTGCAAAAGTTTCTGGCCAGTGACATTTTATATTCTAATTTATAAAAAAAAACCTGATAAAATTTTAACCATATCGGGCATCAGTACAAGATGTGAATAACGAAATTTGGTGATAACATCTGATAATGATTAAAATTTTATTGGGCTTTTTTTTTATAAATTAGAGTATATAAAATGTGAGTATATAAATTGGCCGGGAACTTTTGCATGCCACTGTAGGTCTCCTAAAGCGACACCCCCTTATTTCTCAGAAACTAACTATTGCACTGTATTAATACTAATAAAAATATGATCTATTTAAACAAAAGTAAGTAACATTTATATTGTATAATACGATATCGTATAATACGATATATAATTTTGCTTGTCGAGAAATATACGTTATCATAATTATGTAATGTATTAGAAAACTACGTTAAGATATAAGTATATTATTAAGGAACAATGAATAAATAAACAATAAAAATTGTTATGTTAATAGAAATAAATTATTTAATAAAAAACATGTTTCAATAATAATTTAGCGGAAGGTGCGCTCCCAGTATATTCTCAGTATATTATTTCTGGTATAGGGACGCTTCTGAGCCAGAGCGTCATGTGAACGCTCGGCAGCTCGGCCGCCGAGCCTCGAGCGGTAATGGGAGTCGCTCGCCGGAATCAGCCCGAAATGTGCAAATCTTTGCGAGCACTGCTTCATAGAATCAAATAACTCTATCGGAGCTGAAGACAATGATATATGAGAAAGGCTTTGAAAAACTATTGCATTACATATTTGCATTTTGTAGAATAGCATAAAGTAAATACGCATATAATTTAACAAAAATGTTTTGTATCGAAATGAAAAGAATGTATATAAGATTCTGAAACATGGGTATGGATTGTTCTCAAAAACCAATGAGCGTTGTTACACTCCTCTGCTCATGAACAGATAATAACTGTAGATTGCAAAAATTGCGAAGGATGTAGAACAACATTGTTAAAATAAGACAAACCACGCTAGAATGTAAATTAACGATAGCGAACATGCCTATAAAAACGATAGGCATTATTAAGACTGTGATCAAATTCATTTGCGCGAGTACAACTTAACCTTCTTGTGAAATCGACTAGAACATAAGAACCTAAGCCAACCAGAAACGACAAAATTAAAAAAAATATTTCGCTATCTGATAGAATTAATGGATTTAAGCGTCAAACTATAAGACAGCGGAATTAGAAAACGCACAGAATTCATCATTTCTAACGGGACCTGTGGGACTGATATATACAGTATCGAGTAGTACCATTGTATTAATTATTGTAATAATAATTGTAATCATTGTAATAATAATTGTATATACTGCTAACAGTAAGATACAAGGAAATTGCAAAGTAACAAATCCCGCGTAAAAAAGAGGGATTCTCATAAAAAACGTCGAACTTCCATTTTCTTTTTTCAACAGGGAGAAGATGTCGTGACCAAATAGATCATTTTCAAAATTCTTCATTTGCAAATTTTTTTGCAAATCAGTATTTCAAAATTAAAGTTACGTACATTAATTTGAACAATGCAACAATTGCAGCAATTCTTGAGGAAATTCGGCCACTTTCGAGAATAGAAGCACGAATTCCGAGCATCTCAAGCCGTTCCGAAAAGTTCAGTGAAAGTGCGACACGACTGTGAGAATCTTTAACAACAAAAGATTGTAAACCAACAAGGAATTTATAAGTTATAATAAATCATTTTCTACTACAAATACTAGCCTACTTTAATCTGAGGACCTCGAGCTCTTACTATTACAACATCGCGGAGTCGAAAACGGTAATCTGCTTAGCTTTGTGCGGCATCCTCGTATCTTAGCACGACCGATCAACGGCTGACCCAAATTTTGAATATTCCGGAGCAGCATCCTTACACCTTAAGCGATACAAGAATCTATATATATTTTTAATGAATTTATCTCCTAAATGACTGCGTACTGATTAATTTCAGACTTGCAGCACAATCAAACTGAAATATAATAATAATATTCTTCCCAAGTTAAATTAAATTTTCAATTTAATATTACTAGCATCTTAAAACATGGAAATTTGTTTATTGCGAAGAGTATTTTATATTCAAATACTCTTTTTATACAAAACTTTTTATACAAAATTCCATAAATTAATAAAGATTTATGTTAAAATAATAGAAAAAGAAATTTTTCTTTAAGAAAACAACATATATATTGAACATTTTATTATTTACATTTAAATCTATGATGAGATCAGAAAACATGTTGAATATTTGATTCTTCGTTTTAAAATATTACATTTTCTTATCATTTTGTTAAGTTTAATATTTTACAAATTCTATAAATTATATGAGTTATATAATTATTAAATTATATCCATTATATAATTACTATTCTATAAAGGATTAAAAAGAGGCCGAATTTGCCCATAAAGATGTAAGTAAAAGGAGTAGCGTTTTTTATACATCTTCCGAATACGATAATGTTAATAAAAAAGGATTGATAGAAAATATCGTTGAAAATTAAGCATGAATATGATATATTTAAAGAAATTTTAATATTATTGTTTAGTTTTCAAGATGTTTCCCACATGCCACAAATTTTTTAATAATTTTATCATATTCAAGAGATCAAAATCTACAAAAACCGCTATTTCTTTTACTTACAATACATCTTTTTAGAAAAAAAATCTGCCTTTTTTGGAGGATATAAAAAAGGACCGACTTTTGCCCAAAAAAATATAAGTAAAAGAAATACTATTTTTTGTAGATTTTGACCTCTTAAGTCATATCTATAATAATATAATAAAATTATTAAAAGTCCGTGACATTTGGGGAACATCTTGAAAAGTAAACAAGAATACTGAAATTTTTTTAAATATATCATATTCAAGCTCAATTTGGAAGGTGTTTCCTATCGATCCCAAACTTTTTATTAACATTATCGTATTCAGGAGATTAAAATCTAAAAAAAAAACACTATTCCGTTTACTTACACCTTTTTGGGCAGAAATCTGTCACTTTTAAACATCTTCCTTTTATTATCTTATTTTTTAAATATCAGTTTAATATTAGGTACTGCACAAAAGCTCGTGTCTTTTTTTTTTAGCACAAAATTATATTTACAATATGTATCTTCGTCAAAAATAAACAAAATTTAAATTTTAAAAAACGGTTTTGAAGCTTGAAATCTCTATTTTCGAAAAGTTACTATGCTTTTAGAATTTCTGTGAGTTTGATAATTTTTACAAACAGAAAAGTACGAGCTGAAAAGAAGGAAAAAAAATTTCTCCTAACTTTGAGTCTATCATTTGCCAAAAAAATTTGCAAAAATTTTCGGTTTTTCCATTCAAGTGATGAAAGCTTAAAGTTTTCCCTACAAAATCGTTTTTTAAAAGTATTCCTAAGATTTTTTTGTTACTAAGTTATCGCGAATTAAACAAAAGGAGCATTTTGACTTTTATTGTTCATTACATCTAATGCTCTAACTTCATTAAAAATCATCGTATTGTAATTTAAAAAACAAATTTTTAAAGCTAAAACTTTGCTCTATTGACTAGTATAATAATAACAACAAATATATTCTATATATAATTTTGATCTAAAAAAAAGGCACAAACTTTCTGCAGTACCTAATATAATAATACATACCATAATTTAATTATAAATTATATCATTTATACAATTGTTATTTTATAAATTACTGATTTCACAGTTAAATTTTATTTTCACTACCATAATCAGTGAGTTATAAGATGGAAAAGCAAAGTGTGATTATTTATACTGAAGCTCAGTGAAATACTCTTATATTATTAGTAAAATCATATTTTATTGTTTACACTACTGACATTTTTCGTTGATTTACTTTTAGATAGAGGAATAAATGAAAATGCCCATGGTATAGGAAGGTTTCTGCCCTAGAGATGGAACATCTAGTATCGATAAATTCATTTAGAGTATGGTGAAATCTATTTTTTTAACTTTCCTTAGCGATAAGAAAGTGGAATTTGATATTAATCAATAGATTTCATCATATTCGATTAAATTTATCGGTTTCAGAGGTTCCACCTCTAAGGCAAAAACCCTTTTATGGGCATCCTCCTTTTATCCATGTAAAAACGAAAGAATATAAAAGGAAAAATAATATCTATATACTTATATATAAAATTTCTTTATAAATTTTCTGACTTCTCCAAGCAAAAAAGATTCTCTAAGAATTCTAGGTTTTCTTAATATCTTCAAATAATAGATATTTTTTATTAAGAAAATATTTACAATATTTTCATACTTCAATTAACAAAGTATACAACTCACTTCCTCTTTGGTATGGGCTAGTTCCTCCTCGAGACTTGTATTTCTTTCAAGGGCCACGCGCAAACGCTCACGTACCTGGAATTTCATCACAACTGTTATCCTTTAGCTGCAATGTACATATACAGTGCCCACCAAAAGTTCCGGGCCAGCTGAATATCTCGGAAAGTATGCATTTTTGAGAAAAATGTTTTAGACAAAAATTATAGGGTTTAAAAAGATCTATTTAATGATCAGTTTGACCTTGTGTGGCGTCACCAATGTCAGGTTAAGATCACATTGATTTTTTTTAAATTAAACACCCTATTTTTTATTCCAGAATCTAATAGCTGGTGTCAAGAGCTTTTCAAAACACTATAATAAAGTTATTTTTCATAAAATACTTTTCGAGTTATAATGCTTGAAAGTTACAGTACCGTCGGCATTAGCATTACACAAGGTGTCCGATCGACGGCTAAATATCTCTTGAATATTGTTCAGAATCATGTCCTGGATAACATTTGTTAAGATCATTGAAGATTGTTTCTCTTATTTTCATTTTTGCAAATTCTGAAAATTCATTTTTATGTAAAAATGAAAATAAGAGAAACAATCTCCAATGATCTTGATCTTAACGAATGTTATCCAGAGAATGATCCTGATAACATTCAGAAGGTTTTAGTCATCGATTGGACACCTTAGATAATACTAATAATGACGGTAATGTAACTTTCAAGTCTTATAATTCGATAAGTACTTAATGAAAATGAAATTTATTGTACGTTTTGAAAAGATTTTGACAGCGGCTATTAGATTCTGGATTAAAAAGAAGATATCCAATTAAAAAAAATTGATATAACTTTGACTTGACATTGGTGACGTCACCCAAAGTCAAATTAATAAGATCATTAAATGTATTCTTTTAAATCCAATAATTTTTGTCTAAAACATTTTTCTCAAAAATGCATACTTTCTGAGATATTCAACCGGAACTTTTAGCGGGCACTGTATATGTGTGTGTATTGTGTGTGTGTGTGTGTGTGTGTGTGTGTGTGTGTGTGTGTGTGCGCGCGCGCGCGCGCGCGCGCGCATTTTAGCATTGACATCGAAATATCTCAAAAATTATAAGATTTGAAAAAGTGTATTTACTAATTATTGTATAATATAATATATCTGTTTAACATTGGGTGACGTTGCCAAAGTCGAAGTCACTTATAATTTTTTAAATAGGACTCTCTAGATTTTATTGCATATTATTATAGCCGTTCTTAAAACCTTTCCAAAACACTATAATTTAATTCACATTGGATCAACTGTTTTGAAGTTATCGAGATTTATATGATAAGTTATTTAGTCAACGAAAATCGATGGTTGATTCAACTAGTGAAGGCAAGATCGATGGATGATCCTAAACTCTTCGCAGTTTTGGGCATGGTTCATTTCAATTCAGTACTGGACAAATAGAACATGAATTAGGAATTCCTACGACTCATTCAATGTTACAATCCATACAATACCATCCTTATTATATCAACCTAGTACAGGAATTAAGCGAAGATGATTGCAGAATGAGAATTCAATTTTTAGATGAGCACTAGATGCATTGGAGCAGAATCCAAATTCTTTTGGAATGTCTGTTTCAGTGACGAAACCACATTCCACAGCAATGGTAATCTCAATAGACTCTATAGTCATTACTAGTCACTAGCAGTTCTTACTGATATCGACAGGTGATCAATCAGTGTTGGAATCTCCATGTTTGGATTAGCATATATAATGATCAAATTATTGGACCATATTTTTTTGAACATACAATTAATGGTCCAATTTATTTAGACTTTCTCCAAAATCATTTGTCAAGATATATTCAGGACTATTCAACTGGATGTCTGCCAAAGATTTTGGTTTCAACAGGATAGTGCTCCAATACATTACTCTCGAGATGTTCGAATTTTTATAGATAAGCAATATCCAAATCATTCGATAAGTCAAGAAGGCTCAGTCTTGTGGTTTCCAAGATCACCAAACCTAAATCGTGTTGATTATGATAGATGCTGTGTATCAGGAAGTACCAACCACAAGATTAGATATAATGGAAAAAGTCAGAAAAGCTAGTCAAGTGATAACGTCGCAAATACTCAAAGGAGTCTTACGAAACTTTAGACGCAAACCAATTTTGTACTTAGAAAATAACGGTGCACACTTTGAACATTTAATTCCGAGAGTGATACATAATGACAGTTAGACAAAGTTCTTCAATTCTCCGATCTTGCCTCCATTGGCAGGATCATCTTTCGATCTTGCCTTAGTTGGTTGAATCATCTTTCGATCTTGCCTTTATTAGATCAACCATTGATGTTCGTTGGTTGGACATCTTACCATATAAATTTCGATAACTTCAAAACGGCTGATCCAAAGTGAATTAAATTTTAGCGTTTTGAGAAGGTTATAAAAATATGTAAGAAAGGGTTATAAAAATATGTAATAAAATCTAGAGTGTTCTCTTAAAAATTCGAAGTGACCTCGTCCTGACCTTGGCAACGCCACCAAATGTTAAACAGATATGATCAGTAAATAGATCTTTTTAAAGATCTATTATAACTTTTTTGTAGAATATTTTTCCGTATCTTTTATAATTTTCGAAATATTTCGATATCAAAGTTAAAGTGAGACACTCTTTTATATACATATATGTATATACCGAATTTAACAGAGCAATCGTACCAGGCTAATTTCTTGAAAAATATGCATTTTCTTGAAAATGTTTCAAAAGTTTTTCAACTTCAAGGGGAATATAATATGGCATTGGTTAGATTTTAGGTCGCGTTACCAAGGTCAGAGTAAGATCACATCTTAACTTTCAAGCTTTATAACTCGAAAGATACTTAATGAAAATGAATTTAATTACAGTGTTTTCGAAAGCTCTCGAGCTATAAGAATATGTAATGAAAAATGGAGGGTTTCATTTAAAAAATTCAACGTGATTTTGCTCTGACCTTGATAATACTACCGAAAGTTTAATCAATGATGCCATATTATGTCCCTCTTAAAGTCGAAAAAGTTTTGTTTGAAACATTTTTCAAGAAAATGCATATTTTTCAAGAAATTAACCTGATACAATCGCTTTATTTACACCCGGTGTTTGCGTCTGTGTGTGTGTGTGTGTGTGTGTGTGTGTGTGTGTGTGTGTGTATTCAGGTATTTCAGACTACCCTTTTATCTTCGCAAGATAAGATCCAATCTTAAAGTGTTCAGACAAAAGCTGCTGGGTTTAAAAAGAGTTTTTTACTGGTCTTTTTTACTGATCTTTTTACTGACCTTATGTGGCGTCGCCAAGGTCAGATCACGTTGATTTTTTAAAATAGAATATCGAACTTTTATTCCAGTATCTAGCCGATATCGAGAGCTTTTCAAAATATAATACAACTATAATAAAATTATTTTTCATTGAATACTTTTTGAGTTATAAGGCTTGAAAGTTACAATACTACCGACATTAGTATTACGCAAGGTGTCCGACCGATTAAATGTCTCTTGAATATTGTTCAGGATCATGCCCTGGATAATATTTGTCAAGATCAAGGCCATTGAAGATTATTCTCCTTATTTCCATTTTTGCACTAAAAATTTATTTATGGTACAACCTTCTACCTTACATAATGTTAATGGTGATAACTTTCTGTAACTTTCGAACTTATAACTTGGAAAGTACTCAATGAAAAATAACTTTATTATAGTGTTTTAAAAAGCTCTTGATATTGGCTATTAGATATTGGAATAAAAAGTAGGATGTTCCATTTAAAGAAATCAACGTAACTTTGACTTGACGCCACCTTGGTGACGCCACTAAGGTCAAACTGATAAAGTTAGTAAAGATCTTTTTAAACCCTACAATTTTTGTCTAAACACTTTTACAATTATCTTGCGAAAATAAAAAGACATACGAGTGGTCTGGAACACTATACATATACGTATGTGCATGTATACAAATAGTGGAAAGATTTGAGGATATTGTGTTAATTTAAGAATGTTTTATCTATAATATCAACTAAAAGTATTGTATCAATCAAATAATCAGCTAAAAATAGCTAATATCAGCTAATATTATTTAACAAATTTTTATATTATCCTGTAAATACGTCCTAAAATCAACTGTAAAAAATAGAACAGAAAATAATTTGGATTATAAAAATTTATGCAAAAAAATGACCATATTTTGCTGCAGTTTTCGGTCAATAATTTTTAAACGATCAAATGAATACCAATCCAAATAAAATTTTGCACGGATATTTATATTTTATTAGTACAGTATAAAATTTGATTCAATTCTTATTACATGCTTATCAAATGCAAATAAATACGTGCATAATAATTTTACATAGAAGTCAAGACATACAAAAAACTTAAATATTCTTAAATCAATTACAGATTTGTACTCGAATTTTACATAGATACTTAAACATAATAATAGAACAATCTATTGATAGAACAAAATTTTTGTTTAACTCATAATATTTAAAAAATAGGTACGAATGTGCATTTCAGGTTACGCCTCACTGATTTGAATTGTTCTTTAGATATGTTGTAGAGAATAGTATCCTGAGTGATACTTCACAAAAATTAAGTGTAGGAAAACGGCATTGGTTTAGGAGATATAACATATTGAAATTCTATAATATATAGGGATAGATTTTCGATTTTCCATAGTTTTCTAAATTTCCATGTAAAGCGAGGTCTATTCCACCACTCCCATATCTAGGGACGACCAACTTTTTTTGGCAAAGCAAGGTCCACTCCATCTCTTCCTTCCCGTGCATAGGAGCGCTCAATTATCCACGCAAAGTGAGTTCTATCTCCACTGCCTAAGAGCGTACGACGGTAATTATGCAGTATAGGGGACCACCATCAATGATCATGACTTTGACGTATGTTATCATGACCTTCAACAGGTTTTAGCCGTCGCTCATTATTCATTAAAAAGTTATTAACAAAAAAAGTTTGTAACAAAAAATAACGTCTCATTTTTGCTATATTGCTATTAGAGAAAAAGTTTTTACAAGTTGGAGTATAATTGAAACCTATTTTTTAAATTGTTTACA